TTGCATCCTTTAATCATAGGTGCAAGTTTTATAGTTATATAAAAAACTGAAAATAATCCAGCACATTATATATAGTAAATATTTCCTCATTTGAGCAATTTTCCTCTCTGGAGAGAAAATTATAAAAGGGATAGGAGGAAAAACTAGACAAAAAGAGAAAGAGATTGAAAGCAAAGTTGAAGACAAAGGAGTATTACCTAAGCCTTTGCAGACTGGTGAAGAAGACAGCAGGGAAACAAAAAGGAAGTAACAAAAATAAGAACTAAACAAAATAATAAAATCTTGAAAGAGATAGATTTTTCATGATTTCATGCCTGTGGTTAACATTTGGTACTACAATTTCATAGTAATGTTTAGCACAGGGTATGTTTCTGCTATTAATGGTAGACAAAGGTAGCAGACCAAGTCCAGATCCACATTGTAAGACCCAACCAAGCCTATACTAGGATTAGGACAAAGTGCTGTTTAATTCTAGCCAGCCTGCCATGGTAAAAGTGTAGGTTCCAATTCACTTCTCCAGAAGTCCCAGCTGATCCTAGTCTTTACCTATGGGCCTGGGAACAAAATTGTTCAGCCCACAGCACCGAGTATTTCTTACCATGTCCTAGGTTCATCTGGTACCACTCAAAGATGGCATCTAGTCAGTAATTCCTCTCCTGGGGATGTTTGGTTTGGAATCACACACCTGCTGCTGCAACTTAGTGTACCCACTCCTCCAATCCTATGGTATATTTCTCCATGGAGGTCTCCAGAGTTCCTTGCTATCACTGCCCTTCTATATGCTTGAGGTTCCTTTCTCATGACACAAGCAGTACATTTTAAATATATATATAACTCATGTACATCAATTGTATGTCAAAAAATCTGCCTTATAAGGTCCATTAAAATAGTTTAAGGTTTAAATTGAGCTTCTGTTATCTCTTATTGAATGAACATTATGATTCCTAAAAACAGTAACCTAGTTGCTTATGTGAATCATCCTACATGATATATAAAATAGTTTAAAATAATATGAGAAATGGACTAAATAAGACAATTTGAAGTTGAAGAATTTACTTGCAGAGCTTCCACTCTGCACCAGCCAGACACATCCAGACAAAACTGAGGCCCAACATTAGTGTGAGACATGTTCCAAGCCCACTGGACTCCCAGAGCCCCACCCAGGCCCTATGTGTGTGTGAGAACTTCAGCTCCAACAAGCACAGTGGATCACCTCCAGCACCAGCCCAGGCCCAGCATGAGTGTGGGGCCATCTGCACACTCACAGGAACCTGCTCTATCAGACAGGCCTAGTGTGCAACTCTGCAGCTGAAGTCCCCGCAGAGGCTAAGGGCCTGAACTGTCCAGCTAATCCAGGAGCAGAACATCTTGCCAGAGGGGAAAAGGGGGTTCACTTCCATGGGTTGCAGCAGGAAGGAGCTCAGCACAGCAGCCACACCCAAGCCAGGCACATGTGGATGAATTCAAACGTGGTAGATCTGGACCTGGTAAGCTGAGATACTTTGTTAGAACCAGATCTATGAGAGTGTCCTCTCTCTTTTTCTCTTGATCTACAGAGAGGGCAACAACGAAGTGAACTAGTCAGGCTGGAAGACCCCAGGTACATCAAGGGGAGGTTATCAGACAGCTTAGGGGAACTAACTTAAATATAAATTCCCAATTTAATATCTGCCTTGCTGCATGGGCATAATGTCTATTCTTACTGTCTAAAATACAAACTCATTAGCTACAAAAGTTTGTCAACTGCTAAATATCACTGCCCAGTATTAGTGTTCCTAATTGTAGCTCTGTAAATAGAAAACTATAACTGCCTTAACCATATAATCTCTTGGGTAATAATTTTGGTAGATGCTAAGGTTATACCTGCACCAAAACTCTACAACAAAGGTAAGAAGATAGTGCTATACAAAATGACAAACAGAAGGAGGAAAATGCAGTGGAAGGCCCTGAGACCACCCAGAACAAATGCAGAAGATGTTAGCATAGAAGAAATTGGGAATCACACAGCTGAAATATCTGAATTAATAGTGTCTGAAGTAAAGAAACAACTGCAGAAAAGTGTAGAGGAAATCAGACCATAAATAATATCTGAAGTAAAAAAAAAGAAAGGAAAACTATAATGAATAAATTATGTAGGGTTTCTAAATAAGACACTGAAGAAAAAATTGAGATCAGAAAAATGATGAAATCCTTGAATGAGCAATATAGGAAAGAAATGGAATGCAGGAAGCACATTCAAAGAGATATACAGCAAATTAAAATCTCAATCACAAGCAGGCAAAATAGTTTCAATGAAAGTGAAGAGAGAGATTCAGATCTCAAAGACAATATTGCAGCTAGTGAAAAGGTAGGAAAAGATCTCTTAAAAACAACTATAATGAAGGAAAACATAACTCAACATCTGCAAGACTTTGCAAAGATGAACAATGTAAGACTAATAGGCATTAATGAAAAAGGAGCCAATACAAATGATATAAAAAGAATATGGGCAGGAGTAATAGCAGAAAACTTCCCAAATATGGAGAAACAATCTGACATTCAGGTAACTAAGGAATATAGAACTCCAAATAACATCAACCCAAAGAGAAACACACTCAGACATATAAAAGTCAAGATCCCAGAAATCCAGAACAAGAACAAAATACTAAAAGCTACTAGAGAAAAGAAACAGATCATGTTTAAAGGAAAACCCATCAGAATAACAGCAGATTTCACTTCACAAACCATCAAGACAAGAAGAGCATGGAGCTAAGTACTTTAAGTCCTCCATGAAAACAAACTCTAGAGCAGACTGCTATAACCTGCAAAAATCTCTTTCAAGTTTGATGAAGAAGTGAAATACTTCCATGACAAAGAACAACTAAAGAATTTCATGATCACAAAGCCAAACTTACATAGACTACTAAAAGATATTCTAGAGATGGACCAAAATTGCCAGAACTCCATGAATGGGAACAGAAAGAACCCGCCAAATAGGGCAAACAATCAAACACAGGAGAAAAAGGGGTAAACAAGAGCAGGTAAATAACATGTCAATCATAATTTAATAATTTCCATCAATGCAAATGTTCTCAATACACCAATTAAAAGAAATAGACTGGTACACTAGATTAGGAAAAAATCTAAAAATATGCTGCATACAAGAAACAAGTTAATTCACAAAGAAATTCACTAGCTGAAAGTAAAACAATGGAAAACAATAATACCTGCCCTAGCACCTCAGAAAAAAGCAAGCATAGCAATCCAGTTCGCCGACAGTCTGAATGTCAAAGAAAGAATGATCAAATGAAATAAAGAAGGCTACTGCACACTGGTTGGGGGAAAAATTCAAGAGGAAGTGATAACACTCATAAATATGTGTGCATCCAACATGAGAGCACCTAGCTATATAAGACAAATCTTAATGGACATAAGAAAATCTAATATCCAATAGCACAATTTTAATGGGAGACCTTAATTCCCAATTATCCCAAAAAGATATGTCAAGCAGACAAAAAATTAGCAAAGAAATAGAACTAAACCAGAATTTCTAACAAATGGACTTAGTGGACATATACATAGTGTTGTACCCCACCACAACTGAATACGTATTTTTTTCAGCTGCACATTTTTCTAAGATATATCACATACTAGTCCATAGGTCATGCCTAAGTATATGCAAGAAAACAGAAATTATTCCATGCATATTATCTGACCATAGTGCAATGAAACTGGAAGTAAATGATGAAAGAAGCCACAAAAACCCCATAATACATGGAAATTAAACAACACCATCCTCATTACCCAATGGGTTACAGAAGAAATTAAACAAGAAATTAAACAATAACTACAATTCAATGAAAATTTAAGTACAACTTATAGGAATTTATGTGATGAAATGAAAGTAGGTCTTAGAGAGAAATTTATAGCTGTGAACTCAAATATTGGGAAAACAGAACAAGAAAAAATAAATGCCCTAATTCTGCACATCAAATGTCTAGAAAAAGAGCAAATCAAACCCAAAGCGCTAAGACAGTAAGAAATTATAAAGAGTAGAACAGAAATTAATTCAATTTAGGTGAAAGAAATCAATACAAAGACTTAATGAATCAAAAAGCTTGTGCTTTGAAAGATTAAATAAAATTGATAAGCTTTTAGCTGAACTCATCAAAATAAGGAAAGGAAAACTCAAATTCAAGCACTAAGGAATGAAAACAGTGAAATTACCAAAGACCCAAAAGAAATTGAGAAGATCATTAATAGTTACTTTGAGAACCTTTCTTCTCACAGAATTGAAGACAAAGGAAATGGACAGATTCCTAAAAAGTAACAAGTTACCAAAACTGAATCAAGAAGATATAAGAACTCTCAATAAGCCAACAACAGCCAATGAAAAATGAAATGTAATTTTAAAAAACCCCACAGAATAAGCAAAGTCCAGATCATGATGGATTCACAGCTGAATTCTACAAGAAATTTACAGAAGATATAATCCCTATACTCCTCAAACTCTTCAATGAAATTGAAAAGGAAACATTACTTTGAAAGTCATTCCTGGAGGCAAGTATTATACTGATCCCAAAAACCAGAAAAAGATGCAACTGAAAAAGAAAACTACAGGCCAAACTCCCTCATGAAAATAGATGCAAGAATCCTCAATATAATCCTAGCAAATGTAATGAAACAAATCATCAAGATTATATAACATGACCTGTTATATCTTGCATCCAAGGGATACAAGGTTGGTTCAACATATGCAAATCTATAAATGTAATACACTATATCAATAGAGCCAAAGACAAAAGCCACACAGTCATTTCAATTGATGCAGAAAAGGCTTTTGACACAGTCCAACACTCATTCATGTTGAAAATGCTACAGAAAATTGGAAAAGATGGCCGGTACCTCAATCTGATAAAAGCCATCTATGACAACTCGACGGTGAACATAATTTTAAATGCGGAAAAATAGAAATCCTTTGCTTTCAGATCTGGTACAAGAAAAAGATGTCCTCGGAGTTTTCAAGTGGAAGTCAGAGAAAATACTGCCATCTCGTCACCGGGATCCCCGCCCCACAGCGGCCTCGGAGCTCGCGGTAACCTGCCCGCCAAACGCCCGCCCCACACAGACACACACAAACACACCCATACCGTGCGCCGCAGCCTCGCGTGGCGGGGGTGGGGAGGAAGCGCTCTGAGAGAAAAAGGAGGCGGCTTCCCTTCAGACCGGAAGTCGTGCTCCCCCGAAAGTCTTCCCGCCCTCGGGCGACCTGGGGGCCGTCCAGGGAGAGTGTCCTGCACACTTCTGAAGTGCTCGGGCGCGGAGAGGAAGCCGGCGCTTTCCAGGACTGAAGTCGGTCGGGTTCCGCCGAGAAGCGAGCCCGTCACTCGAGGAGGAAAATTCCGGAACTGGATGTGAGCTGACTTCTCCGCGTGGAGCTTCTCGGAGCCAATTAAATGTTGTACCCAGTCTGGTTACCCGGGTAACAGACGTCGCCGTTCGTCTGGGACCGGAAAGAAGAGGTTTCAGAGGCGTAGTTCATCATCAGTTATGGCGACATCCTCAAAGGGTCTGCTCACCCAGATTACTCAGTTCTGGAACCTCCTAGATGATCTGGCTGAAAGTGACCCAGAGGGCTATAAAAATTTCATTCAACAGGAGCTGGAAGAGGGGAAACAGCTCTGTGCTGGCCCAGAGCCAGAGCTCTGTGTGCAGACCAGGATTGTGGTATGTAGAGTTGGTGGCAGGAATGGGAGGTCTTCAAGGAATTTATCCCAGAATAATCAGAGAATGCCTACTATTGCCACTTCAACACAGGAACAGTTGATGGAAACAGCCTTCCAAAATAGAAACTAAAACACGGTATGGAATATTGTGCTCCAGGAGAAAGAATGGTAAATACATATCGGATGTGTTTTGGAAATATTAAAATGAGCCATTTTTCTGCTAGAACAAAAAGAGAGAAATGATGTGATTTAATAGAGCTTAATGGAGTTGGAGATTATTCAAATAAAAAAAATTTGGAGAGATAATGAAGTGGTGAAAGAGGCTCAAATGCACCAGGAACAACGGGTCAGTTTCCCCTTCTTCTGCCCAGTTCCTTTCAGAAGGAGCAGCAGTTGGATTCATGATAAAAATAGCCAACAGCTTTGGAGAAATAACCGGGCATGGTGGTGCACACGTGCAATCCCAGCACTTGGGAGGTTAAGGCAGGAGGATAGGTGTAAGTTTGAGACCAGCCTGGGCTACAGAGTGAGCTCGTGGCCAGCCTGAACTGCATAGCAAGACCAAAAACAACAAACAAAACTTTGGAGAAATCAAGTAACAAAAGTATTGATCAAACATGATTTTAATACATAGAATGATTTGTGACTTCTAAACTAATTTCTGGCATAATCTATTTTAAAAAAAAACACTAGCTAGATTTTGAGATATCAAAATTACTCACTTTCCAGAAGCCAAAAGAAAAAATACTTTTTATCAACTTGTGTCAGTGGAAGAGGATTCCCACTCTCCAGTCAAGCATGTATCCAGTACCTCTAAGGATGGGCAGGCCAGAAGACATCTCTGAGGCATCAGATGAGTACACAGTAATCAGTGCTGCCTACAATCCCGAAGTCCTTCAGGCAATAGAAAAGGACCAAGTGAAAAAAGATCAGTTAATAAAGATGACTATGAATTGCATTGAGGAACAATTCCAGCTCACTCTCTCACACTCTTACCATATTACCAAATTTAAAATAAAAGGAAGCATTCAAAGAATGAAACAAAACCTGATGGAAATCCAAGCTGATGTCACAGATTTAAGACAGAAAATAAGAAAGGAACACACTCTTGAACAGTTAAGAAACAGCACTGTGAACAATTCAGATAATTTTCCTCAACTGTTACTGCCAAAAGACCAAGTTTCAGGCAAAGCAGGATGTCTGATAGAAGAGATTTCTCGTACTGAAATCCAAGTAGAGAGGAAGATACCACTCTATGACTTAAAATTTTTGAAGGATCACAATGAAAAACCTATGAAAATTGAATTGAAAGTTGACTTACCTGGTATTAATGAAGCCTCTCTCTGTGACCTTAGTGTTTCTGAGGATGACTTATTGATTGAGGTCTCTGAGAAGTACAGACTGCATCTGAATCTTCCAGAATCTGTCAATACTGAAATGACTACAGCAAAATTTATCAAGGAGAAATCTTCATTAATCATCACAATGCCACTGATATAAAACAATGTCTGATTTTGGGTTTTCAGTGTCACAAGTCATGTAAATTACATAACTTGTTATAGGTAAAGAGTACCTTATCTTAAACATTCTTTGTCTTCTAAGAGTTCTTTTTAATGGAGTGACATTTTCCCTTCCCCTGTTATATTTTTGTCTTTTCCTTCTCAAATAAACTTGGCACCAATCAGAAACTAAAAAAAAAAAAGAAAAAAGAAAAAGATGTCCTCTATCGCACTCCTATTCAATATACTTCTGAATCATTACCTGGAGCTATTAGAAAAGAGAGAGAAACAAAAGGAATAAGAATAAGTAAAGAAGATGTTAAACTATCATTATTTGCAGATGACATGATATTTTACTTGGAAGATCCAAAAATCTCCACGAAGTTACTAGAATTGATACACAAATTCAGTAGCATAGCAGGATACAAAGTCAATACCCAAAAATCAATAGCATTCCTCTATACAGATAACAAACACACTGAGAGGGAAATTAGAGAAACAATATCTTTGACAATAGCACCGCAGAAAGTGAAATACTTAGGAATTAACCTAACTAAAGAACTAAAAGAACTATTCATGGAAAATTACAGTAACCAGAAAAGAGAGATAGTAGAGGATTTCAGAAAATGGAAAGATATTCCATGCTCCTTGATAGGAAGAACCAACATTGTGAAGATGGCCATACTCCCAAAATTGTTGCACAGATTGAATGTAATTCATATCAAAATGCCATGAACATACCACACAGACCTAGATAAATCATTCCTAAAGTTTATTTGGAACCAGAAAAGACTTGGAATAGCAAAGGCAATCCTGGGCAACAAAGACAAGGCAGGAGGCATTACAATTCCTGACTTGAAATTGTACTACAAATCTACTGTGATAAAATCAGCATGGTACTGGCAAAAAACAGACTTGAGGATCAGTGGAATAGATTAGAAAATGCAGATAAAACTATGAACACATTCAGGCACGTTATCTTTGACAAAGGGGCTAAACGTGTGTCCCGAACCAGCGGGTCAGTCAACGAAGGTCACCTGGGGGAGGAGCGGGGAATTGAAGAGGGGACAAAGGACAGGAGACATGAGAAATGGAGGCAAGACAAAGATTCTGATCAAGCCTTGTTTATTTAGGGGAGGTTCTGGGTATATATAGGGGTGATGGAATGAGGAAGTCTTGGGGTCAGCAGGTATCTAGGCAATGGGGAGGGTACAACCCCTAGGGCATAGCACGTGATTCACAGGGAATGGGCAAGGTGAGAAGGGCCATAAACTTGACTCAGCAGGGGAATAGAATGAATACCGGTTAATGGCCTCCAACAAACATGCTTATTGGAAGAAAGATAGCCTCTTTAACAAATGGTGCTAGAAAAACTGGCTCTCTACATGATGAAAACTAAAACTTGACCCAGGTCTATCACCGTGCACTATGCTAACATCAAAATAGATTAAAGATCTAAACATTAAAACAGAAACACTAAGTCTCCTGGAAGAGAAAGTAGGATGAACTCTTGAAAAAATAGGGGTAGGCAAAGAGTTCATGAACAAAAGTCAAATCTCACGGGTAATACTTGAAAAAATTAACAACTGGGACCTCCCCTTATTGAGAAGCTTTTGCACATCAAAGGAAATTACCAACAAAGTGAAAATGAACTCCACAAATTTGAAAAAAAATCTTAAATAATGAACACTCAGTTAGGTGTCTTGTCTCTAGAATTTATAAAGAACTAAAAAACATAAGGGCCCCAAAATTTAAAGACCCAATCCAGAAATGGGCATCTGAAATGAACACACATTTCTCAGAGGACGAAATTAAAGAAGCAAATAACTATATGAAAAAAGGCTCCACATCATGAGCCATCTGTGGAATGCAAATGAAAACAACACTGAGACACAACCTCACCCCAGAAAGAATGGCTATCATAAAGAAATCAAGCAACAACAGATGTTGGAGAGGCTGTGGAGAAAAAGGAACCCTTCTCCACTGCTGGTGGGAATGTAGACTGGTGCAACCATTATGGAAATCAGTGTTGAGACTCCTTAAAAAACTAGGACTGGAAATCTCATTCACACCAGCTATTCCCCTACTGAGAATTTTCCCAAAAGAACAGAAAATATCATATTATCATGTTATATAGGCTTCTATGCTTATAGTAGCACAATTTGTGATAGTCAAATGCTGGAAACCTACCAAAATACCCGTTATCTGAGGGATGGATGAAAAAGATGTGGTATGTTTGTACAATGGAATATTACTCAGCTCTAAAGCAAAAAAAACTCAAAGCCTTCATGTATAAGTGGATACAAGTTGAATATATACTCATAAGTGAAATAAACCAGACCCACATGTGTAAGTATCATTTAGTCTCCCTAGTGTGAGAACTCAAAAGAAGAAATAATAATTGAAAAGTATAATACAATTAAATGGAAAGTGAGAACTTAAAGATTAAGCAATGAAGAGAGAGGAAAAAGAAAATCTAGGAAACATGGCAGTGGCAAAATCATGCATTTATATACACAAGATCTTTAAGGCATTAGTCCTAAGCATCTCCATCAGGTTTTTGGAAAATAGCAGTTAATGGGTAGAATTCTCACCCTGACTAACTACATCTGCTGATATCTGTGAACTAAGAAACTACACTGAGGATAGCAATGTGTAATGCTAAATCCATGCTTGGAATACCTATCATTGTGGTCTTCTAATGTGTACTGCTTCTAATGTCATTTCAGTTATTACTTTACTCTCTCTCTCTCTCTCTCTCTCTCTCTCTCTCTCTAAGTAAATATTTGTTTAAAAAAAGGTAATGAATGAAATCGAGACAAGTTAAAAGAATGCCATAGGATTGTCCCGCTATAATGTTGTATATGATTAGATTTCTAAATTTCTGTGTAAAAATGTGTCTGTGTTTTCACATTCTATAGGCAGTTAAAGTTAAGAATATCAATGATTGTTGAAATACCTGTTCCCTGGCATGTCTAAGGCATTTGATATTCAGACAGATAGTGATGTTAACCTCAACAGCATATATTATACAGTAATAATATCATTAAGCTTCTCTTCTGGGGGGTTAACAACTTAAGTTTGCTGACCAAAAAAATTAACGAAAATGAAAGGCTACAAGAAGAGCCAATATTTTGGCCCTAACCTTTCAAGGTCAGTGAGGACTCAGGACATAAGAGAAACTGTACTGTAACATCCTGTAACTCAGTGGTGTCCCAAATTTTCTGACAAAGAAGATTATGGGGCCATAGAGGAAAGTGATCAATGATGTATAGTGTGCCTAATGATACTCACATGGAGAAAAAAACATTCTCTCAAGCTTTCACAGAGAGGAAATTACTCCAGCAATGGCCATTTCTCATCCATATGGCTGACACTGACAAAAGATCTACAAACTGCTGTACAGGGTTTCAGGGTAAAACATGAAGGGATCTGACTGACCTTGTCAGATACAAAAGTTACATTTTTTATTATATAGATCTTGTTTTATCTAGGTCTTAATCATCCAGTAGAAAAGTATAAAAAGTAAAGCCATATTAACCTGCTGAGCTATAAAATGCTCAAGTCAACAAGTTCTGATATTGCCAGTTCTGCTGATAACCCGCTACAATTATGGACTATAAGACTACATTGGGTTATTTTTGCTGAATTCATGCACCTACAATATTTGAATGACAATGGGACACAAATCTCTGACAAAACAAAAATAAAAGGGGGATATAAATGAAGGACCATTTCATAGTGAAAAAAATATATATATGTATACACAAAGTAGGATAGATATACAGTTATTTTCTCTTATCTCAATGAGATTTGTGCTAATTATGTTTACACAAGATATCATGTATACATCTTGTACTCTGAATAAGTACTACGAGGACAGTAATATGCAATGTATTAATTATTGTAACTGTCTTACTAACCTGTTTTTGAACTGTCTCATTGCTATGTCTTTCTCATTAAATTTTAAAAAAGGAATTTATTTGCACAGGAGTGATATCAGCTTCATAAAAACCAAAGTTGTGGAGTTTTTGAATAGCTTATGTTTAGAAGATCTTAGGCTCTATATAATGAGCCACACAGCAATACAATAAAAAAAGTATGAGGATATATAATATCAAGGTGGCAGAGAACGTTCATGAAAATCTCAGCAACTGAAAATGAGGCCAATATAAATGCATACAGTACAGAACACAAACCCAAGCCACAGGGGAAAGTCTTACTTTCACTGCACTGTTCCTTTTACTGAGTGATGCAGTGTCATGGGTAGGATTTTCTTGGGTCCATAGTTATGAAAATGGGAAAGAAAACTGGAGGTGAACATCTAGTTCACCCAGAAGTCTGGGGCTGTTCTTAAGAGGCACATTTCTACCAACCCTTGTTCAGAACAGTGAGGGTAAAGACATGGCTAATCTGTCTGGAATCTGGTAGAAACTAATAAAGGAGATAGGGCTTAAAGTAACCAGCATGCAGATCTGGATAGTGTCTCTGTTTCTCTTCTAGCAGTGATGATCAGACAGCAGCAAATAGCATAGTGTATCCAGGAAGCAGGGCTGATTGCTGCCAGAAGCAGAGTTGGAAATCCTATCTGGTTTAAGAAAAGTGATCCTACTAGACATGTACAAATGTTCTATCCATGCAGGAGGAGACACATTATATAGGCTGGCTTCAGTGCTGACTTTTACCAAACATTTCAAAAAGTATTGCCAGTCATTCTCAAACTCCTCAAAAGTTGAGGGAATTTTTCAGAATTCATGTTCTAATACCAGCACTACCCTGATATCAAAGCCAGACAAGAGCATTACAAGAAAAGAAAGAAATAGTGCAATATTTTTGTTGACCAGTGATGCAAAAATCCTTAGCACATTGAATTTAGCAGCACACTGAAAGTATTATTCACTCTGAACAAGTGGGATTTGTCCTTGGAATGAAAGAATGGCTCAATATCAATAAACCGAGAGGTAGAATATAGCCACATAAGAAAATAAAAGAAAAAACACTGATCATTGTCTCAATAAAGACAAAAATGTTTGACAAAATTTAACATTTATTTATGATAATAAGTTTAACAAATCAAGTGTAGAACATAATAAATATATATGTCAAGCTCACACTATCATCATGCAGTGTAAATCTTCCTAAGCATAGACTTATTGTCACATGATGTGACTATTTTAAGGATTATGAATCCTTATGATAGATTTGCTTTCCAAAAGTTTTCATTACATGAGCAATTTGATATAATTTCCAGATTCAGATTTTTTTTTATTTTCTTTGTTCTACCTCTATCAGATATATGAATTTCATTAATTTTTAAGTTCTCTTGAATAATAGTGAAGATTAATATCTTTTTAGGTGTATTTGCTGTTGGTGTACTGTTTTCTAGTTCTTTTTCTTTAATAGTTGTAGTATTTAAAGATTTTTCTTTATCTATTTGCATAGGTACTGTGAACAGTTACCCAGTGGACCTTTTAATAACTCAGTATATTTTTTCCAATGAAATAAAGACACTTTTCTTTAGTTAATAATTAGCAGGAAATTCTGTGATGTGCTCAATGGAAATCAAATACACAGTATTTCAAAAGCAGATTGCACAGGTTATTCATTAATTAATGGTGTTCAAGAGACATAAAAACCTGATCCCTCAGCCATAGTGTTTTCATGTGTGACTGTTATTTCATTTTTAAAAATGCAGCAGCTAAAACATGCAGGTTTTATTTTTTTGTTGTTCTTTCTAATTGAATCCCTTACTCTACCTACAAAGCCTCAGGATGTCGGTAAGAAATTTATTTGCATACCAGTAAGGAATGATTGAATTAGTATATTTTTTCCTTTTTAACATTTTTCAGTTTAATTCTTGCTCTTTTCTCCCTCTGCTTATGTTTATATATTCTGATCAATTGTCTCAGAAGTCTTCCCAAATGTGTAGTTTGCTAGTCACATTATCAGTCTGTAGGCAGGTAATTTTTACACTTATAAAATGGACAGCAACTAACTGATGACAGAAAGACAGAAAGTTTTGCCGCAGAATGTGCTGTGAATTTACAACATTGGTATTTATAGGAAATGTGTGTCATTTGAAGTAACAATGGAACAAGAAACATGAGTTGAGGTGTTTGGGAGGAATGTGGTTGCTCAGTATATCCCCTATCAAAAAGGCAAATATTTTGAGGGTACACAAGCCCCTATCCAATAGAACATTTTCTGTAACCCCCTCAGTACTACTCAAGGCAATGTAAACCTGGTGGAAGGGGGGACTTTTTATATCTTATATTCAAAAGGGAAATCTTTTAACTTCATTTATCCAAAGAAAGTTCTTTCATGATCCCTCTGGCCTGGGAGTTGCATTTTTCTGTAGCTTTGCACAAAAGTTCCTATGTGAAGCAATGGCCCTGAAAGTGTAGATTATGTTTTACTCAGTTTTACAGTTCTAAAGTTCCTGTTAGGTGAGATGTCATCAGGGTTAATGAGAATGACTATTTTTGAGTTCTCCCTCTCCTTGTTTTAAAGATTCTGTTGATTGTTCGTTTAATATCTTTTGTACCTGTGTTTTCCTTTTCACTTCCATTACTTCTACCAAAATTAAGCTCTTGCTGACTTCTCAACAAAAAAGTTGTAAAAGTCTCCTAATATTTACTTTTCAAGACATCCATTCCTCCATTCACTTGACAAATATTTCTTATTCCATTCTATTTGATAGTTACTGGGGAAGATGCTAACATATAACATAGCACTACCTGATTGTGTGGAAATGATATTACTAGCCTACACAAACCTTTTCAGTAGCTCCTGCGGTTTCCAGTTGAATCCTACACTGCTCAGTTTTATATGAAAGAAACCCATAATCCAAACCCAGGCCTTTCAATTCTAAAGAGGTCCTATTATTCATCTTTTTTTTTTAAA